AAATGGTCTTAAATCAACAATTATACCCTCTCAGCCATTTCACATCATTTCTTTGTAAAGAAAACAGTCTTAATCAAAAGTAAAGTCTTTGTTGGTGTCTTTTTATGAATTCAGTGGGACAAAATAAATGTAAGCATCAAAATGTAACTTTCTATGGGGTCTTTTTGCAACAAAATATCTCATATTCAGAGAGCTGAAATTAATTTGGCTATGGTTAGAGAACATAGAAGGAACTTATTTGCAATTTTGTTTCACGGCTCCCGATCCAAGACCAATTCTCCACTTGTAGTTCACAGATATCAGGAGATGTGAATGCAGAGTAGATCTTTTAACTTGGGGAGAAAAGAGGTCCATGAGAGCCTTGTATAATGAGTTTCTTTTGAGAGGTTACTCTTAGAGAAAGTGTGAAATGAACAGCCAAACTGGAAGCCAATTTCAGCTTCCCTGAATGAAAGCCTTTAATCCAGGATGAATCCCCTTGATCTACAGTAGCTCAGGTAGACAGGCCACAGTACAAAGGAGCATCAACTAAATGCTCCTGCACCGTGATACAAGCTCTCCTCTGGTGAGCTTCACAAAGACATTGCGATGCAGCTCCGAAAACAAGTTAGCATTTAACTCTATCCCACCTCCCGCCTCTGTTGCACTTGTTTCTACTTTCACATCCGACTCCTCTGTTATTTTCTCATAGGTCAGAGAAAAGCTCCTAGAGAGCAGATGATGAGCTTCATTATTAAGCCGAGCAATTACATCCCTCCCGGCCCAGGCCGCAGCCGGGCGCTCCCTCTATTTATTTCGTTAAGATAAGACAGATCGAGGTGGAATAGTAATGCAGCGCCTTGTAGCTCAGAGGGGAGGAGAGGTGGCATTTGGGAAGCAACAGGGGAGAGGGGATGGGCGATGCAGACCCACTTTCTGTTCTCCACGTATCATTCTTGATTAACCTCCAGAGCAGGAGAGCACAACAGAGCTGCAGATAGCTCCCCTCCGAATGAACCTGCCGCTGTCGGGCTGACTGTTCGGATGAACACAGCATGTCATGCTGAGTTCAAAGTGTATCTGTGTGTATGTGTGGATGCACACATACTTTTAATGACAAGGCCTGCTGATTGGTGGACGGAGAGATCTATTGGGAGGATCAGCCCTGAAGCCAGGAGTCTGATTTGCTGGTGTCACGTGATCACCAGGGATATGCCTGGTGGCACACTTAATCTATATAATTGCACTGATGAGATGCTCAGCAGAGGAAAACTTCTGTTTCCCACAGTCAGGCAGGTAAGAGTCACCCACAGGCGGAAGGAGATCATGTTAAATTGTGACACCTAAGCATGACTTAGCAGACAGATTTTCCTCCTTAGGGCACTGAAGCACTCCATTTGTACTGAGTCACCTTGACATCAAATGACCATTAGAGCCAAGCAATGAGACACACGAGCAGAGGGGAAAAAATGCTTCAGCTGGCAAGGACTTGATCAGCACTGTCCTCATAAGTCTTGGTGATGGCTACAGTGTCACCCGTTTACATTGCTCTTCTGTCCTCTAATTGCCCCTCGACACCCACATTTCTCAGCATCTAATCATCAGGAAATGTCATCAAGAATAAGCTGTGTATGTGTATGTGTGTGGGTAGTTAAGTAGATAAGGGAACCTGGCTGCTGTGAGGACGTGACCTTCAGGGGCAATTCGGGTAATGAAATCACAGGAAGGAAGTCCTGATGCCGGGGGCCCACCTGGTAACCCCTCTGTCAGGGCTGACACTGATGACCGCATCCTAAGTGAAACAAATGTGCCAATTAGGCAATTCATTCCTCACATCCTCTACCACACAACCACTGGCCTAATTTGTATTTGTCCCTTCATCTTTTTCCCCCATCACCTCCTCCTTCTCTCCCTCTCTTTGTCTCTGTCTCTCTCCTCCCTTCTCTTCCGCTTGGTGAATCTTTTCATCAGTACCCAAGGGCTGTTAGTGGCAGACAGACAGCTAATGTGCAGTGTGGCCCCACACTGGGAGGGCCAGCTCGTGCCACACATTAATTGCCTCTTTCAAGTCACGGATTTCCCCACAGGGTAAAATTGAAATAAATACATAAAAAAAGTTGTTGGTGGTGGTGGTGGGGGGGATGGATGTAGTGCGGTGTGGGAGGGTGCCAGGACTCGTGTCATCCCTTCAGTGACGGATGACTTTAATCATGAGAAATTAGACCCCATCCCCTGCCCTGCTCCTCTGACTCTCTGTTTTCTTATCTATCTAACGATGCTAGGCCGCTTAACCTCTGATGAAACCCCCCGTGTTAGAGGCCAGTGTTAAATTATACAGAAAAATCTGCAGGCCCTCAGTCGCACTGTAAAAAAAGAGAAATTCTCATTCTAACTTGAAGTGGCACAACTGGTTGAAATAGAAGTTCGGAAAAATACAAAATGAGAGAAATGATTACTATGTTATGACGTTCATTATCATTTTTATTCATGTCAATATATACCTGCAATCCATCATCCCTCAGGTCTGTGTGTCATTTCTATTTACCCAGTGTTTGCATGCCCACAGGCGCTTCCTATTTGCATCCAGCCTGAGTGTTGTTTATTATAAAGGGTGGCTGCCTGTGCTCTTCCTATAAATCCATCAGCCCAGCCCATTTTGCTGCGCTATGAATGTAATTTGCAAATGCAGCGATGCAGCTCCCTTACCAGGGTAGAAGCAGTAAAGCGTCACTAAGTTTGTAATTCATAATTAGTTTTCCTCTCTGTTGCTGGTAATTGGTTATAGCACATCCTTTGACTGCCTAATGGCTTTAGCGTTAGTGGTTATACTGCCTAGTTGTGGCTAATCAGCAGGGTGGGCCTTGTAAAATGTAGCTGATCAGCAGTTATGTGTATTGCTGGGCTTTTTTAAGGGTGCTGAATCCAGATACAGGATCTGCTACTAAGATTTGCACGTTGAGGGTTCAGTATGCTCGAAACAAACAAAGTGTTGCTTCACCATGTCGAGCCAGTGCTCAAGACAGGAAGTGTGCAGTCTATTAATCTTATTTATCTGTCTTAGACCCATTGTTTTAGCATTTCTGCCCTTTAAACCAACTTTCTTCTGACAGGCTGCCCCTTGCAAGAAAAGGATGTGAATAGCAGGACTTCTGTGTGTTCTGTGGATGTCTTCAGTCACTGACAGCATGAAGAGCCAGGAATAGAGAACCAAAGCATAATAGGGGTTCTTTAATAAATGTAATAAAGGACTTGTATAAATGTAGTATGTTTATAGTAAAGGATGTAAAATTTGAGTCGCCACAAGACAATTTAGTTAAATGGAAAACCGAGGTTTGCATGTGGTTAACACTGTGAAAATGTCTATTTTAACCCAAATCTAATTCTATTCAATTCATTTTCATTTATATATTGCCAAATCACAACAACAGTAAACCTCAAGGCACTTTGTATTGAAAGGTAAAGTGACCAATTACTTGGCAACAGTAGGAAGAAAACACAGAGTGATATGTTAGCTCAGAGAGTGAAAAGAGGTGTGTGAAGAAAAAACACTCAGTGAATCATGGGAAGGTCTATAGCAGCTTAGCTAAGGGAGGATTCAAAAACAAAAGTTTTAAGCCTAATCTTAAAAGTAGAAATGGTGTCTGAATCCAATCTGGGAGCTGGTTCCACAGAAAAGGGGCCTGAAAGCTCTGCCTCCTATTCTACTATTAAATACTCTAGAAACCACAAGTAAGGCTGCAGTCTGAGAGCTAAGTACTCTACTGGGGTGACACGGTACTATGAGGTCTGATTATTCCTTGTTGTAAGGAGAAGAATTTTAAATTTAATTGTGGATATAACATGAAGCCAATGAAGGGAAGCTAATATAGGAGAATTACCCTTTCTTTTTCTTGTCCCTGCCAGCATTCTTGCTGCAGTATTTTGGCTCAACTGAAGACTTTTAATCGAGTTTTTAGGACAACTTGATTATAATGAATTACACTAGTCCAGCCTACAAGTAATTAATGTATGAACTAGTTTTTCAGCATCACTCTGAGCAGGATTTTTCTAGCTTTAGGGATATTGCACAAATGCAAGAAAGGAGTCCTACATATTTGTTTAACATGTGCATTTAACCACATATCCTGGTCAAAAAGATCTAACCTACAGCGTAAGCTATTCCATTAGTTTCTCAACTTTTAAGCCGCAGCATTTTGCTTGTTTGTTTTGTTTTTTTCTGTTTGTTTTTTGATCAGAGGGTGGACTACCAAGTCATCAGGAAAAGGTAGCAAACCTGGTTAGCATAGCTGCTAAGTAGTACAAAGCTGCAGACTGATAAAGTGCTAAAATGTCTATCACCAAAACTCAAGAATAAACGTCTTGGGTGGGCTGTACCCCACATATTAAAATGCTCTAGAAGGTACCAACAGCACAAACATAGTCTAGTTTAGTAACACAGAACTAAGGCCTAGCACCCGATTGGAGCAGCCTGTGTTAGCAAACCTGTCCATTAACTTTAATCCCAAGCAGTATTTAAATCCCCCCACCGTAAAGCTCTGATGAAAGGGGAAGCTACCCATAGAGGTCAAAGACCTTGTTTATAAAAGGCAGTTAACATGTTTTTAAGGCTAAAGTTTGGCACTTTACCATGAGAGTCTATGGGGATTGATTTGCTTTTTAACCTAACCATAAATGGCAAAGAGAGGAACTGCATTTTTTGGCTCTTCCATCTTTGGCTTCTTTTTATAGCCTCAAATAGGTAAATCAAGATAGCCATTTGATTAAACCAACCCTAACCCCTATACCCTATCCAAAGCTCTTCTGTATGTCAGAAAATAAACTTTATTTTGAATACATGTCAACATAGCTATCAGTCATTATTTCCTGTGTTATTGGATTGCTTTAAATCTTGGGTCCATTTGTCTGCCCATGTAACATGGTGTTAAGTGGAATTGCTCTAGTGTGTTGTACTTAACTATGATGTTAGTGATATTTGCTGCAAACACTCCTCATATGAGTACTATATTACCACTCTTTGACAGGTGGAGTGGCTGAAAAATGAAGAGCTGGTGAGTTCCCTGACGGATGACAACATCGACACCCGAGCCGACCACAACCTCATCATCAACGAAGCGCGCCTGTCCGACTCGGGCAACTACACCTGTCTGGCCAGCAACGTTGTGGCAAAGAGACGTAGCGCCACGGCAACTGTGATAGTCTTTGGTACGCCATCGTAGCAGCTGCTTATTGCCTGCTACAACACATTACAGAGTAGTGACACAATGTTTACATGGCACTTCAGATCAATTTGTTCGGCTTCCTGTGCCCCTATACACAAGTGATTAAGAGACCCGTCTCTGTGTTCCCACTGAAGAGCAATGTTTCCTCTTTATTCAGATGAATGTATTATTCAAACACTCAATTTACTGCCTCTCATTTAAAATCAATGTGTACTTTATGAAAGGAAATAAGCCAGTGTGTCTTAATCTCATTTAAAAGGAGTGTTGCTTATTAAGTATTTATTTGCCAGAGGCCTTCCAGAAACGTGGGTTCGCCAGCTTTGATAGCACTGCTGAGCAGAGAGAGAGAAAGACAGAGAGATCATAAAGTGCTTCAGTCACAACGCTAAGCAGTCGACTCCAAACCCGTCAACCAGTATGAGTCGGTGTCGCCTTTAGAAACGACGTTTCCGTTTCATGGCTGCTTTCTTTGCTTTCGCATAGTTCCTTGTCTTTATCTTAATCCAAGTGCAAGAAACACTGAACTGAGCAATTATGAAACAGGGAGCTGTATATCCAGCGTATTGCGCTGTGCTCAATCTGCTCCTACCGTTATACATTGTTGCCTTGCACTGCCTCTGAGCCTGCATAATCATTAATAACCCCAGCAGCTCTTGTTAGAGTGTTTAACTATGCCAGAGTTCAGTAAAAAGTATTATTCATTGCCGTGCCCTCACTCTACTTCTTTTTCTTTTCTTAACTTTGCTGGACTCTCTCCAGTGAATGGCGGCTGGTCCCTGTGGACGGAGTGGTCGGCCTGTAATGCGCCATGTGGGCGGGGTGTCCAGAAGCGATCTCGGACCTGCACGAACCCGGCACCACTGAATGGCGGGGCCTTCTGCGAGGGCATGTCCGTACAGAAGATCACTTGCAACGCGCCCTGTCCAAGTTAGTTCTACTTCTCAGTTTTTGCTTAGATTAAGCACAGCTTAATGGGGCTGTGAAGATACAAAAAGTAGCTTTTGCTACGTGTCAAAAACTATTAATGCTTGGCTGAAAATAATTAAGCTGGTAAGTCCGACAAAAATGTTCACATTAAATGTTCTAATGATATTAGCGCATGATGACTTAATTATCTCCAATTCTAGCACTTCTGTTTTCAGTTGAATTTATTGCAAGGCTGTTTAATTCTATTTGAACAATAACAGTAACATTTAGCTATCGCTGACATGTAGAGTGACGTTAATAAGCTTCATTCGTGCCTCATTAGCATTGCAGGCAACCAATAAAGGGACTGCAGTGGTCAGTTCCAATAGTGGTTACACATTATTCCTTTGCCAATGAGAGAGAGCACTGCTATGCTCAAGAAACTACAAACAATAAAAAGAAGAAGGCGGATTTATGATGCAAAGTAAAGTGACTAACAGAAGCAGTGGTGAAAGAGGTTATATGACTCAGTGCCCTGCATGCAGTTCAGTGGGAGAAGGTGAGCTTAGGTGCTTGTTGAGAAAATGAATTTTTACCTTACAAGAGCAAACAGGGAGGGATTTTGTTGATCTGGGGAGGTTTGTGCTCACCCAGGCAAAGGTTATCCTTTATGGTGAAGGATGCATCAACACACAGACATATCTGCAGAATTTAAATGGATACCTGTGACTGTTTCTTAAACAAAAGACTGCTATTGAGTCAAAACTAGTTTCGTTGCTCTGGATAACCACAACAGGCAAATAATAATAATATTAAAATAATTAATAATACTCATAAATTTGTCTTGTGTTTTATACATATGTAAAAAAAAAAAAAAAAAAAAGCCCCAATGCACACACTTTTCAAATTCTTAAAATTTGAATAGCAGGCATTGGGAAAAAAAGTGTGTGTGTGTGTGTGCGTGCATAAGTGTAAAGAGTGGGTGATTCAGGGAATAATGTACCTCTGCTGCAGTTCTGGCATTCATCCATTTTTGAGAATATTTCTATCAGGCTCTCCTCTGTGGGTGACCGCATTAATACCCGTGAATGAGCTTTTTATGTATGATTTCACTATTACATGCATATACC